CAGAGATAAGATAATGAGCAGGGCACGAGGAGGAAGCTTTTTTCAGGAGCAACAAGTGAAAGCAGCAGTTAAACCAGCAAACACATGCTCATCAAAAGGCTGAGGAAACAAAGGGGGGTGTACATAGGTGGTATTGTTGGAATGCGTGTAGAGTGTAGAGCGTCTTGAGTCAAAACTATTGAAACATTTGCGGACGGCCACGGCCGAACAGTTCACAATAGTCACTCAACCCATTTCATTTCAATGCAACCGACAAGATAAACATGCGCACGAAAGACACCAATGTTGCCGCGCCATGCGGCGCCAAACTTTTGCGCAGAGCATGGATCGCAATGAGTCGTATTCTGGCAGAGCGCTAAAGAAATCCGTTGAGTGGGCCATCCTGGATCAGTGTTGCCAAAGTTGCTCAATAAGGAGCGTTGGCGCCGAAAAAGCGACGAGGCGACGGCGCGGTCGCTTTGTTCCGAAAATTGTATTGTCGTCATTCGGCAGGTTGTCGTAGCGCTAAGGTCGGACACTGCAAAAAAGTGACTGCGAACAGAGTTAGTCAAAGATAATGCTCCAATAAACGACGTATTGCAACCGTCAGCGTCGAATTTCATCAGTAGCAGCGATCAACAGTGAATCAAACTAGGTGAGGCAAGGGCACGCTGAGAGTCTGTTTAAAGAGAGCAGCAGCTAACCAAAAGAGTTATAAGCGTAGAAATTTGACGAAAATTAGAAGTATTGGTGCAAAACTGCAGAATACATGCGTAACTTTAAGTGTTATCAGCCGCATGGCCTTGTATGGAGTAAATAGGGAAACAATGGCCGGCCGACCTTCAGGCGCACTGCTGGCTAGCGCATGTGTCCTTTGTGCAGTGTTCATGACACTACCTTACCATCACTGCCGATATTCGGTAATCACGTCGCTGAAATTGAGAACGCACGCTCGCCTTCCCTTTGAAAACGCTGCAGAACAACGAGACAAAAAGTCAGCTTTCAAAGCATTAAGTAGTTTTGAGCTGAGCAGCTTAAATCATCAACCTGCAGCTTTTCCCACATGAAAAGGATCGAATGAAGTCGGAAGTACTGGGAACGATAGCCAGCGTCAAAGGTGACAAGATGAGGGCAAACACCGTCTTCGTAACGCGCTTCTATTATGACAGTCGTCGAACGCGCGCGCACCAACTAGCCTTTGTGGCGAGTTAGGCAACAATGCACATAAAATAAATTGCATTAAACGATGTGAGCGGCATCTGAGCCTCAGCACAGAGGGCATCGCATGCAAACGCACACAATCCTCCCATCCCAAGCGAATCGGCATCGCCGTGGTCACCCAACAACTTCATGCAATTCACTGACCGCTGCCATACAGTCATCTGCGCTCGATTACAGTGCTACAATCACCAAGCAGACTTGGTTTTTAATGGT